TCAAACTGGTTATTATCATGGACAATTTGTTGAGAATAAATCAATTGGGTATCCTAAAGGTAATGTTTGTATGCAATAATCATGTGATGTAATATCAAAATGCTTGAAGAGACTTACAATTTGAGATGATACATCTGTCCTCTCTCTCTCTGTGTATTTGCATTATTCAAGACAAATTTCAAAACTTTTCAGAAATCAAAGTTTTTCTATTTAAAAACAATTAGTCGGTTTTATAAATTTTTTATCGAACAATGAGAAGATGTAATCTGATCTGAAAAATGTTGTGATGTATTTGCGCTATACATTTTGAACAATCTGGTCACATGCATATACACTTGTCAAGGTATTTTATATGAAGATTAATAAAAGGTCAATTAGATAAAAGTTCAAATAGAAAATTAACGTAATATGCAAAGAATAAGAAAGGGTAGTAAACTGTCACATTACCCTAGACTTAAGATTACCAAGGTAAATTTAAGGTTCTAACGAATTGTTTCTGTACACATAAGGGGGGTTTCTAGTAAGTCGATTTGGTGTTTGAAGTTTTTATCAACGCCAAATAGTTGATTAAAAAGTTCATAAATTTATGTGTATAAACTTGAGATTTACTCAAGTTCAGTTCATCAGAAACTAACCTTGGATAGTAAATCAACAATCAAAAAACTCAAAAAGGAAGCTTCATTTATTCAATGTTTTCGTCAATACAAAGGCGATTGAGAGTAATGCTGAGATTGTATAATCTTGGGATTGTTTTTAATCTCCCCTAAAACATGTCATCTATTTGAAAAAAACTCGACTTTTTTCAATGATCTCAACAATGTCTAATAAAATGTATAAAAACTCAGCTTGTAAATGTATAACTACAGGTATGCATGTTGAAGTACACTGAAAGATGTTAGCTGAATCTAAATCTTTCCACATATATGCAGAAATACATTGCATTCATTATAGGGTTATGGAGATTGTCATTTTATATTGAAATCATGAATGAATCATTGTTAGGCCACCATTAGAAATCTGGATAAACTGGATGACCATTTCGTTCTAGTATGAGACTCTCCAACAGTGCCCATCCACAACTCCTAAAACCCTAGAATCGAACCGAAGACCTTCAGGCTCGCGCGATGGCTGAATAGGTATACAAAGGTGTTAATGTCTAACTTTGATCAATCAAAGCTTTTAAGTAACCTCACCTCCACTGGTCACGGGTGAAGTTGCATAGTACCTTGGATTGGTTGAAGTTAGACGTTGACGTTAAGCGTTCGTGCGTAAGACCGAAGGTTCTAGGTTACATTCTGGGGTGTGGAATTCAGAGTTGCGCATTGCTAATGAATCCCATACTGATGCGAAACGACCGTTCAGTGCTTCTAAACTTTTAATGATCGATTCATGATTTCAGTGAAAGACGATATATATCGTTTCAGATTATAGCATGTAAGGTGAGAATTGTTTTTGAAATAAAAATAAAATTATTAATGTTGAGATGACGAATACGCAGAGTTAACGTCAATAACGTCAATAAATACAATTTGTGAAATCCATGATCAGAATAAATTTAGGTCAGATAGGGTCAGAGAAATATTAATGCAGTTACCAAATTTGATCGGATGGACAATGTTACATTAATTCAATGGGAAAGACTAGTGCTCACTTAATGGCCCAATACTGAGTTATACTCAGTATATACTACTCCTTTGCTTAGCCACACTGGGAAGAGTTCATGAGTACGAAAATAAAAAAATTCTTAAAACTTTGACCAATGAAGCATGTAGTTCAATTGAAAAACACAAACACAAGATGGTCATTTAGTCGTATAGAAAACATTATTTGTGGTTTTCCTAGTTTTCCATAGCTTTCCAGAGTAATCTGTTTTCCCTAAATGTAAGACGTTTGGCTCATCTTCGATTGTATCGAAAGAACACATCCTATAACTAAGAGTTTTTACCAGATTTACTTCAGGGTTATACTGCCTTGTCTTGTTACTTTTCTTGCATAAATTTCTTCTTATTGATCCATCCCGTCTTTTTATTAACAGAAAGTTAAAAAGAAAACTATTCATTCCTACCTTCGCATTCTTCTTCAGATGTAAACTTGGTAGTCGAGTGTACTTCATTAAATTGTCTAAGAACCTCTAGTTGTAATGTGCTATCTTCATAGAAAATAAATATGTTATCCATTTATCAATAGTAAAATGTTTGAATTTTCTTTTGAATAATCTGTCTAAATGTACCATTTTTTTTCTAGAAGGTGAACCAATTACAAACTCCGTACATTAATCGACAGGTTTCTCACATTCTTCTTCTCTTAATTGTGAGTAATGACGTTACATCTACAAGGTCATTTCGTTTGGGATTATTAATTCATTGCGGGGTTGTTGTGTAGATTGTTAAGTTTTATTTGTAACCGTAAATCGATCAATGTTAGACCACCATTAGAAACCTGGAAGCACTGGACGGCCGTTTCGTCCTGCTATGGGACTCATCAGCAGTGCGCATCCACGACTCCTACACCCCGCAGGATTCTAACCCAGGAACTTCGGTATTGTGCGCGAATATGTAATTATAGAAGCTGATGCGAATTTATTGAATAGATTATTATTTTTTCATTCATTAAATTAATGTTTTCATTGTATTGATTCAGGATTGATTTTTTTGTTGTACATTATTTCATTAGATGTTCAATACAATCATAAAGATGGAACAGTGGTTACAAAAAGATTATCATCAAATATTTTATCAGTAGGTTAATGGTTCTGTTAACATCCATTATAATTTATTCATGGTTTTATATTTGTGTTATGATTCTATTTTAAAAAAATAATTGCCTTAATGAGTTATAATTTCATGATTAACTTTCTTGATTTTGATCAGTCAGGTAGGTGGTACCCGACTTCTTCTCAATCTTATTAGAAAATTGAAAAAATCCGTTTCAACATCATTGTTACTGGTTATATGTCTTTCATGTACTTGTAGTGATCCATGGAAATATGTGAATTGTTAGAAGACATTTTTCATTGAATAACTCTATGTATTTATTATTTGTCATTTACACCTGTTACCCCGCGTACAGCATAGGCCTCCTACGGTCAACAATATCTCTAACCTAATCTACCATGGACTCTCTTTTCCATTTGTTGCCAAACTCTGTTCATAATTTTGATATCTGCTTCCAGTTTCGGATTTAATGTATTCTTTTGATCCGCTTCTTTCCCTTTTGCCTTGACAACTCCAATGCAGTGATAGCTAGCTTTGTGATGGGTCTTGACGATTTCCGTAAAGTGTAACTTATCCTTCTCTAGTGTCTTCTAATTTCCTGTTCAATTAGAAGCTGGTTTGTTGTCTGGTACTCTATATTGTTTCTGTTAGTGTTCGGCCAACGGATCTGGCATTTATCGCGTAGACCACTGTTTATAGACGAGCATGATTCTGTAGTGAAGATGAACATAGGTGAGGGCAACCAAATTGTATTTAACGAAAATTACAGAGTTATTTGGTAAAATAGAGAAACCATATCGTAAATCGTTAATTTACAAAATATCAATCCATCATCTCAAACTGGACGGTTCCTGTTGCAAACATCAATCCATTGTCTGACATTTCACTATTCATGCGTTTCATACAAATTCCATTGTGTTCCCACTCTTCCTTTCTCGATCTTCCCCCATCTTCTGCTGCCAGACATTACGTTTTTACTCGCGTCATATACTACTTATAAGTAGCGCGCACCACAATACTTCAAGCTTCAGCTCCGGACAATAGAATTATTTTCATGTTTGCGATGAAAATTTGAACACGGGTGTTAATTGATGGTTGTTTTAAGTCCTCGATGTTCTTCAGTTGTAGAAATATGGCCCTTGCTTCTCTAACTAGCGATCGGTTTGCCATCTTTTTCTATGAGAGATGGATTTTTATGCGGTTTTTACATTGTGAGGATAATTTTATCTATAAGCGAGAAGTCAAGTAATGATGTGAAAAAGTAAAAAAATTTTTAAGTCTTAGTAGCAGTGATTACGGTTACTTGGTAGAATTGAATTCCTTTAATTAACAATGTAATGGTTTTCTACTTGTTAAGAATAAGATTTGATAGCTATTAATACATAATGATTAAAATGATTCGTACTTGATCAGTTTTAGAAATGACTGTATATCACTTGAGCTACTGACTAATAATGAACAGTATAGACTGTCTACATAAAAAACCCAGCTGAAAGTAATCAGGACAGACGGATTCTAAGGAACTAATAACCGAAAATTAGTAGATGAATGGTGTAATTGAATGAGGTTATTCTCTAACAATAGCTACCTTTGATCTTGTCTTGTAACCACGTAAAAACTAAATGTGTCAACATTTTCTTATTAACTTCCTATATATATTGAAATAATGAATCGATCATTGCTAGACCACCATTGAAAACCGGTAGGCACTGAACGGCCGTTTTGTCTTAGTATAGGACCAATCAACGGTGAGCAACCACGAACCCCCTCGCGTGAATCGAACCCAGGACCTTCAGTATTACGTGCGAACGCTTAGCCGCGAAACCACTAAGCCGGCATCCAACGATCTCGATGTCTAACTCCAATCAATTCACGGTATATACATTGATATTTCAAAAAGTGTTTGTGACAGGAGTTATATATTAATAGTTGTAACATTGATTCTTCGGTTGAACAGGTTTGCTAGTTATTGTGATTGTAAATTTTCAACTTTATTGATATGAAAATTTGTTTCGAACTTGATATCGATAGTCAAACAATTTCTATAACAAACAACTGGTAATCAACCCTGAACCTGTTAGTCAGCACTAGTTAATCAAGGATGTCATTTATTCTTTTGAGAATAGTATAATCTTGTGAGGTTTAAAAGGAAGAGGTATCGTTTTATATGAGTTGTGAAAACTCTGATAGTCATCGACTTCCAATCATCATAAGCTTCGATGCAAACATGAAACTGCTCAGCTAATCAGACCATATCCAATCATAAATCTACTCTCTAGATGTTTTCTATAGTTCTCCATATGACATGAATTAAAACTGAAACCATTCATCAAGATTTCTTTCTCAAAAACTGTTTACCAATAGAAACGTTAAGTTAACGTTATTGTACTTTTTCATTTTCAGTCTCAACCAGTAACTTGGAGTGTTTCCGAGAATGGTAGATATTTGATTGGTCATATGATTTTACAAAAGAAAACTGATCCACATTTTGGAGAGCCTGGATTAGGTAGGTTTGATAAATGTTCAGTGAATTTTTCTCAATTCTCTAAACAATTCATAATCATAACAGTTGAAACATTTTGCCGCTTTGTTTTGTCTCTCGTCTGTGTTGTTGATGACCACCTTCATTTTGTGAATTTATACATTAATCAATAACTTTTTTAACTAATGAATCGATCAGTGTTAAACCACGATTAGAAACCTGTAAGCCCTGAACGGCCAATTCGTCCTGGCATAGGACCGACCAACAGTGCTCATCCACGACTCCTGGTGTTCGCAGGATTCGAACCCAGGACCTTTTGTCTTTCGTGCGAACGCTTAGCCACTGGAACATTAAGCCGGTATCCGACGATGTTAATGTCTAAATTCAATCAATTCACGGTGTTGTGCAACCTCATACACTGTCTTCGGTGAGCACTGCTTCACACACGAACAGGGTAGAACTCCACTGGTCACGACTTCTGACTAGAACTCGGAGAAGATTCTTCACGAAGCTAGTGACTAGTGAGCCAAGTAATTTATTAATCAATAAGCCAAATGGCCAAATACATTTACATATGTATTTAGTAGTTTATTTGATCGATTTTCAATGGAAAATGTAGGTTGTTTTTTTCGATGAATCCACTGTGATCATGATTTGGTTTTCAACAGAATGAACAGCTAAGAATATATATATTGAATGGATCACACAAAGATTCATGGTTAATTAAAAAATTATACAATGTGCTCACCAGTGACTAGCTTCGTGAGGAAATTCTCGGAGTTATAGTAGGAAGACGTGACCAGTGGAGTTCAGCTCTGTAGGGTGTAGGCTGTAAATGCTGAAGACAATAGGTGAGGTTGCTAAAAACTACTTAGATTGATCAGAGTTAGACGTTAACACTGTTGGTTGCCTGACGACTCAGTGGTTCAAAGGTTAGTCATTCGAGCGCAAGAACGAAGGTCCTGGGTTTGATTCCTGCGAGTAGCGGGAGTCGTGAATGCGCGTTGCTGATGAGTCCCATGTCATGACGAAACACCCATCCACTGCTCCCAGGTTTTTAATGGTAGTCTAACAATGATTGGCTCATGATCTCAATGTCTTTGTTTTTCCGATTTACGGGTAGAGGAACCTGTAGAAAATACGAATCGATACTTGAATTATATAAAATTTAATGAAGTGGGTATGTGAAAATGCCATTATTTTCATAGTTCAAATCACGAATTTCTACACCACCGAATATCGTTAAGAACTTTCATGTTATAGCCAATGGCCAAGTTAAATCCCTCCACTCGAAGATATCAAAAGGACAGTTGTGATTGGAGTTAAGATGTATTTGTTGGCGATCTCGTGGTATGGAGATGATACCAAGATCGTGACAAAATTTAAAGACGAGTCAATTACCTACCGAAGAAAACAGATGAAGGTCGGACAATATCATAGGTTGGTTGAAGCTACTCATGAACACCACCTGATGCTGCCTCAATGATCAAGAGGTTCAGCGTTTGAGTCCCAAGTTCATTGAAATTCTAAAGAGATCTCAATCATTACTTAACTTCACCAGTATACCATGATATTTTTCAAAAACTTGATACATCATTATTTCTTATACATCATATTTTATTTTCAATCAAAATTAGGTCTTAAATTAGCTGGTGGTCGACTTAATAAATCTGGACGTTTATCAGCATTCATTACACAAATTAAACCTGGCAGTCCAGCTGATATAATTGGTCATTTAAAGTCAGGTGATGAAATTTTAGAATGGAATGGACAATCATTACGTGGTTTAAATGCTGATGATGTTTCACAAATTATCTATCAGTCGAAAGATAAATTACAAGTGGAATTATTAGCTCAAAGGGAATTAAAGTAAGAAATTGTTTGAGTTGTTTTTGTTATTGAATGATATAAAATTCAATTATTTTGTGAAGTAATAACATCATACATGACCGAAATGTGCGCATTTTAGAATGTTATCAGAAGTAGAAAGTTTTACCAACGAATTAATATGTTTATGATGTAGCTTAGTTCTCTAAGCTGAATATTTTGATTACGGAACTTTGATTGTTCTTTTGAACAAAATTAACAGCACAAACTTCAAGGTAGATGATGTTTAGAAGAATAACCAAAGCTCCATAACCAAAACATCCAGCTCCTTCGTAATCATTCACCTGAGATAAACATTTTCTCCTTGTTGAGGATGTTAGATCCCCACTTGAAAAATGCCTTATTTTGGATTTCACGTTTGCGAGCATGGGCTGATCGATTAACCTTGAGATTTCATTTCCCAACAGGAAAATCTATGGCTGTGTTTGGCTGCTGTGTATTTTAGTGTGCTATTTTCGTAGCTGTCTCAAGGATGTTTCTATGGTGTGTAAATAAACGAGAGTTGTGTACTTGATTGTATTGTGATTGCTGGGTGCTTGTAGAATATACTTTGTACGCTTACAAAGCCTTCTGTCTTCAGCATGGGATTCAAGGTAGCCTATCTGGACGCTGGTAATTGTCTCATTCGTAATAGCTTCAAGCGTACCTAGTGACAAACATATCACTCCTCTATTTCAAAATTAACATTGTTATGGAAGAAATGAGAAAATTCTAGTTTTTCAACATCCTTAAACAATGAACATGTTCTATGATGTAAAAATAATCATATTTAGTACATCAATAACTAACAGATGTGATGTAGTCTTCATCGAATAAAATAGAATATGGTTAGGAGTGATATTTCAGAATCGTATTTTGACTTATTTAGGTCTCATCAACTGGATGTACCATCTGAATCTGAGAGATGATATTCACTCTGATACTTCAATTCATTACCGTTTCATTTCAAACATCATCATGACGTTATTCACTTGGCGATTGAGTTCAGATAATCACATTCACTTGTACAACGAGTATTTCAGATTTATTTCAATTCTTAATGATTTAGATTATCTCTTGTTGTTGATTATGTATAAGAAGAAATTCGAAATAAAATTACATGCACTGAAAACTAATGAGAGATACAAACAACAACGATTAGTAGTTATAACTTACTGACAAGTGAATTAAAACATCTACTTATAATTAGTTAAAACAAATTTAAACATCACCAAGGTCAAATTAACTCAGAATATATATCAATTTAGGTCTTAAATTTTTGGTCTCTTGTTTAACTACGTTCATAATTGATAACATCGTTCACCATTGGAAAAATCTTAAATACCAGTGAAATAAATTTGAAAAAGAGAAAAGATGGTCATCAATAATTCAGCAGAGTAGAATCCGAAAGAAGACAAAGAATAAATGTGTCCGTATCATTGCAAGCGATTTTAAGCCATGTCATTCAAAGTCTTTAACCATCGATTATCATCGTCTCACGTACCCCAACCAGGTATTCTACACCTGCTAACATGGTTCAGTCCAGTTGTCAATGACCTGATTGACTGATGCCGTGTTTTGGTTTTGTCACCGCTAGTTTTCTTCCAGCTTACTCCTAAATTAGACAGCGTCGCACGTTGAGGTAGTCGGCGGTTGAGTACATATAAAAATGTCTCAGCCGCCTCAACTGATGAATTTTCACCATTTCATCTAGTTCCCGTTTCGCGAAGACAGCATTCCTTACTCTATAGTCCCAGGATATACGAGCGATGCTTCGAAGACACCTGTGATCGAGTATTAGCATCCTACGACTGTCCTCTATTCTTACTGGCCATGTTTGATACCCAGATAGTAGGACGGAGCCAACTACTGCGTAGTAGACTCGTCCTTTGATTAGTAGACGATGGATATCTCGCTTACACCATAAATGACGCAAGTTAGCAAAAGTTAATCGAAGCCTGCTGTATTCATGCCAAGATTTCATCAGACACTCACTATAGGCCATCAGGACTGATGATACCTGATTGTTTATTTGTTAATTAATGACGTAAACAATCGTACAATCAAACATTGAAATCAATGTAATTTTTTGTTATAATACTTGAATAACACATTCCTCTCTTTTTTCATTACTTTTCTCTCTATTACTTCAGTGAATCTGATAACAGTAAGTTTTTCTAATTATTTATTACTTAGAATAAAACGTATTTGATTTTGTTTTTGTATGCATGTTAGTATTCGATTAATGTTTTCCTGTAAGCTGTTCATTTCAGTTAAAACTTGACAATTTACAATGTGCTCACTAGTGACTGACTTCGTGAAGAAATTTTCGGAGATCTAGTGAGAAAATGTGACCGTTGGAGTTCATCCCTGTAGGGTGTAGACAATAACTACCGAAGACAAATGGGTGAGGTCGCACAAACTCCTTAGTTTGATCAGAGTTAGACATTAATACTGCTGGGTGCCAGCCGGCTCAGTCATTCTGAGATTAGGCGTTCACGCGTAAGACCGAAGGTCCTGGGTTCAAATCCTGTAAGTAGCAAGAGTCACGGATGTGCAATCCTGGTGAGTCCCATACCAGGACGAAATGACCGTCCAGTGCTTCCAGGTTTCTGATGGTGGTCTAATGATGATCGGTTGATGAGTTCTATGAGCAAAATATATATACACATGTATTATTGCTCTGAAAAAATGTGTGAACTTTCACATTTAGCTGAGATGTTTCGCCTTATTCTGAAACACTTTATATAAATGACTGATCACAACCAACAAAATCAAAGCTTCATTTTATTATCTATGGTGAAATTGAAATTCCTACTTTTATTTTCAGAAGAAATATATTCAAATTACAGTAAACAAATTCAATGATTCTTTGATTTCAAAGTTAAATGGTTAATTCCATTATATTGTTTTAAATTTTTATTCTTTGCAATATTGAATTTGTTTTAGCACCAACTGATAATGTTGTATTAATGGTTCCAAATCGTTCTGATTGTTTGAATTCAAATGAAATTGATTCGGTTGAGTGTAATGTTAAATCGAGTTTACATGTAAGTAACAGTATATATGTTTATATTTTTTCAATTATAGTTATGGACATTAGAGCTCTTTATTTTTTGCACACTGAAATCATCAACCAATCATTGTTAGACCCCCATTAGAAACCTGGAAGAAGTGAACGGCCGTAACTACCAAAGACAAATGGGTGAGGACGCGCAGAATCCCTTAGATTGATCAGAGTTAGACATCAACACCGTTGGATACCAACCCAGTGGTTCAGCGTCTAAGCGTTCGCGCGCAAATTCGAAGGCCCTGGGTTCGAATCCTGAGAGGTGCAGGAGTCGTGGATGCGCACTGCTGGTGAGATCCGTACCAGGACGAAACAGCCGTTCAGTGCTCCCAGGTTTCTGATGGTTGTCTAATGATGATCGGTTGATGAGTTCTATGTGCAAAATATGTATACACATGTATTATTGCTCTGATAAATTGTGTGAACTTTCACATTTAGCAGAGATGTTTCGCCTTATTCTGAAACACTTCATATAAATGCCTGATCACATATTAATTAAAGCATATAGTTAGTGTGAAAACTAGATACATAGCTCCCTATCAATGTCGTCTGACTACTTAGTAATAAACATAGTGCAGGGCAATGTCATGTTACTTAGTAATGTGACCAAACAAGGTTAATACTACGAATCGGAATCAACAACAAATATTACTGCTATGGTGTGAACTATTTACAATGGGGCTTATAAATAGTATGAAATGGACACACAGCAGAGTGGAGCCCTGAAGTTACTACTGCATAGGAGAGAGTGTTGGATCCAGATGAATGGTGAGATCTGGGTTTTTTAAGGAACAGAAGATTTATGACAGAAGTCAGCCTAGAATACTCTTGTTTTACAAATGGATATTTTATAACAAGGTGTACACTTCTTGGCTATTTAGGATTGTATCTTGATGTATCCGCTCTACAGACACATATGAAAACTAACATTCCAGTGATCCACATGAGAGTAAGAGACAGGGTTCCATGTTATGGTCATGGCGGTTTATTACTTACAACAATTATCACCTTAAGAAGTTGTTTATACTGATTAGCTTGACAGAAGATTAAATAGTCTAATAAGGTTGCTCCAATCAAACAACATTATGAATCGAAATATTTCGGGGAATAATTCTTACATTATTTACTAATAATCTGCAATGTTGATTTTTTTTCATTTAACCCCTTCTTATCGTTTGGAATGCAGGTTACTACAGTAAAATTAAATTGATAACATTCAATCAAGTATGTTTCAGTCTTACTAGAAAGTGATCGTATTTCCAATAACTTTGTACTCACAAATCCAACCATTAAATATGGATTACACTGTATTGAACAAATCACCTTAGGAATCGCCATTAGGCTCTTGTGGATCAGTGTCAATCGGTGTGATATCTAGATCCAAAACTTTTTTTAATAGTTGTTGACCAACAAACGATGCATCAAGCTTAGAATAATTAGTTCTATCAATTAGACTTTGCAATATCTCACTAGTGCAGACTAACAGCTCCATAACAGCATGTAAATAGAGTTTGGCGGCTTTGAATGAATCCTTTAGAAGTGTCTTTCTTTCGATAGGATATATATTAACGATTAGCACAACAAACATTCATTATGTTAAATTATGGGAAGAAAGTTTAATGGCACGCTATCTAACTCCAATATGGTTCAACGATTAAATATTGTTATGAAATAAATCTTCCGTCCAATTTCCGTATATCATACTTAGGCAAATCTTCTTTGTGCGACGGCAGTTATAAGAAACCAAATACACATTCAGTCGGATGAATTCATTTCAGGCGAAATCGTTCACATAGACAAACATGAGGATGAAAATCGTACAAGCAAAGTGAAGGCAAGTGAACCAGCTCCATGGGATGAGGCATGACTAAGCATTTGTAGCAATGCAGTCACATATACTTAAGTATAAAGAACCAAGGCTATAAGAGAATAATAGACAAGGTCGAAAGACTTGTGAATTATGACTCAAGAAGCGTGGATTAATTGATTTATTCGAAGGCTTCAGCCAAGCCCTGTGGGCTTGACATACTAATAGTCATTATAAGTGATTTAAAGTGTCACAGTGAGTATGATTACTAATAGCAATTATATAGAAGTTCATTTTTGTGCGTTTCTAACTTAAAATGTCCACTGGTATGACTACAATCTCCTTTGCTCCTGAAATGGTTGACCACATAGATCATAGATTTTTCTTAGAACTTTGGAAATGCTTCTTGAAATTAGTTATTCATGTGCATATAGTCATATGCACACAATCATTTTTCGATCAAAACTGATTAGTGTTTGTTTTTACTGTATCAAAACGAATTATTAATCACAACATAAAAGAATAGCATATTTTATACTGATACATTCGTCAATATTTAAACGAACAGTTTGACAGAAATTAGGCGCTGAATGGTATATATAAGACATTATTTTGTGGTGGCCAATTTCGACGTGTTCTTAATCTTCGTAATTAGCTCGTCCAGACAATCGTTACTAACTAGCGTATGACGGTTTATAAATCAGAAGGTGAACTCGAAGTGTTGAATACGTTTATTTTTGACACACCACAAATAGAACAGCAGACTACATGCGCTAAAAGATAAGACCGTCATGCGAGCGCCGGAAAGCAAGCGAGTGAATAGGTGAATGAAGCGATGTGGAGAAGGCTAGTGAGCCAACTCCCAGAGATACAGCATGACTAAGACATAATAGTCAGACGTACAGTAAGCTAAATAGACATGCACACACATGAATAAAACTAACGAATGGTTGACAAGGTCAAAGGACAAGTGGGACAAGTCACGTGAGCTCATACAAACAAGACCACAATAAGAACGTTTGGTACACATGAATTGTTGCAATACAAATTGCTTGGTTAAATAAATTAATCGAAAGGGCTTAACCGAATTAAATGTAAGCGAACCAGAATGCATGTGGAGGCTATACAATTTAATTGAAATGTCGAAACAATTTCAACATTTTGTCCCAGGTAATCATTTCGATTCTGATCATAATTATTACCCTTTAAGATGCCCATGTAAAATTATTAATGGATAAGCTACTGGAACGGTTCAAATTTCAATTATATTGCGATTATTTCAAATATGAATTTTACAGATAAAAGCATATTTCATCCTGAAGAAATTCTTCATACAATGTTGTACTTTTTATTCTCTTCATACCTACCATTGAACATTGTATTCATATTAAATTTTCAAATCAATTCTATCTATATTTGTTTTATTTTATAGTTGAAATTATTTTACGATGAAATTAAACATCAGCTGATTGTCAATATTTTAGAAGCTCGAAATCTACCTAATATAAATAAACTTTCTAGAGTACCATGTAATTTTTATTGTCGTTTGTGCCTTCTTCCAGAACAAGTGTAAGTTCATCATTTGGATTAAGAAAACGATTTCTCTTTTTAAACATCAAAATCTTTTTTTTTAATTTAAATAATATTTGGGTTAATCGGAAAAGATCGAACATTGTACATCATATTTATACAGTACAAATTCTTCATATTTGACTTTAATCCTTTTATATTTGTAAGATTTCATAAAGCTAGTGAAATCAAATTTGATTGGTCAGAAATCTAATCAGTCAGCTTACGAACTTACTTGCTTAGACCTATAACCCCTTATGGAGCATATGTCACTGACCAGCATTCTCCAGCGTACTAGATCCTGGGTCTTCCTCTTTTCAGTTCTATCCAATCGCTATTCATTCGTCTCATGTATGTTTCCGATTCTCAACGTAATATGTTCTCTGATCGTCCCCTTTCCTTTGGTCTCGAGGATCCCAAGTGAGGGCTTGCCTTGTGACCCAGTTGGTTGCATCTTACTGATTTCTTCATCCGCTGGATTCGCGTCTGTTCTGTCTCACACTAGATTGTTGCTGATAATGTCTGACCAACGGATCCGAAGTATTTTGCGTAGAAAACTGTTAATAAATACTTGTATCTTCTGGATGATGGCTTTGGTACTTCTCCAATTGTTGCCTCATATAATAGAAGTGTCTTGATATTTATATTTTAAAAATTGTGACTTTAGTGTTGGTTGATATTTATTTGGAGTTCCAACTGTTTCTCAATCGTAAAAATGTTGCCATTGCTTTTCTAATCCATTGCCTATTAGCTGGCTATTTCTGTATTACGAAGAATTATAACATATTCAACCATAATTTTAAATTGTAATACAACGATAAGTAAATCATGTTATCAAATGTCTATAATTTCATGCGATTTATGGTGTAACTTGTTGATAATACGACGTTTTTAATATCAAACTAACTCAAAAACTATTGAGAAATTGATCAGCACTTATGACTAGAAAAACGTATCGTTAGTCAACCAACGCAAATAACTTAGTTCTAAATGAAGTCAGTAACTTTACGAATAGTATCATGCTATGAATCTGGATGTTATGATTTTTGAATCCTTCAAGTGGACATCAGATCCCTTAAAATTGCATATCTTTTTCCTTTGCTAATTAGAGTCAACTGACATGAAACTCATAGTCTAAAGGTTTTACTAGTGAATATCTATAATTGTCTTACACCGAGACATGTTTCACTTGACAGTGATTCATTTAGATTAAATGGCCACATTCCAACTTGATCGACAGAAATCGATCAGCAGCAAAGACCTAACAAACATTAATATTATTTATTACACACAGTGATCAATCAATGTAGTAGTCAGTCATTCAGTCAGCATAGAACGAACTTGTCCATCGTGTTATGAGGAATTCAGAAGATTAAAATTTCAGAGAACACAAAGAGTGGATGCACCTACGCCATTGCAAACAATTTTGACCCATATCATTTAAGGTCTCTAACCTTCGGTTACTAATGTCTTGAGGATCCCAACCAGGTAATCCACATCTACCAACATGACTCAGTCCACTAGTCAGTGGCTTCATGGATTTCTGCCATGTTTTGGTCTGGCCGCCCCTAACTTTCTTTCAACCTACTCCTACACCACAAAACATAGCTAGACGAGGCAGTCGGTAGTTAGGCATAAGTAACACATCTCCCAACCACCTCAACTGATGAAGTTTCACCACTTCATCTATTGATCTGCCATCCTTACCTGGTGCTCGTTTCCTAACGACAGCATTGCTTATTCTCTTATCCCAGAATATATGAATAATTCTTCTAAGTTATCTATAATCGAATACTAAAAATGGGTACTTTTAATCATATCAATTTATCACAAGTTTATTACATAAAATAAATGAATAACAAATAAACTAATGAATTAATTATTTTTATTTGTTCCTTATTTATTTTCTCTCTTTTTTATTTTTTTTATTTTTTATAATCAGACAATACAATTCACGATGTACAAAATTAGTTAGTTGTCATGGTATCAATACAAATCCTGTATGGAATCAAATTTTTCGTTTTACCAATTTCACTGATAATGATTTAAACAAATTAAATTTAGAAATAACCATATGGAATTGTAATGAATATTTAGATGAACAATATAAAATTGGTGAAGTATGTTTATTAAAATAGTTTTATTTGTTTGTTTGTTTTTATAAGGAAAAAATCGATTATTACATTTTTATATAGCAGTAGTATTGGTAGTAGTAGTAGTGTGGTGCGAGCTACTTATAAGTAGTATATGACGTGAGTGAAAACGTAATGTCTGGGGGAATATCGAGAAAGGAAGAGTTAGAACACAATGGAATTTGTATGAAACGCATGAATAGTGACAATGGATTGATGTTTTGCAACAGGAACAGTCCAGTTCGATATGATGAACTGATATTTTGCAAATTAACGATTTTCGATATGGTTTTCCGATTTTACTGAGTAACTCTGTAATCCTACAATATTTGTAGCTCAAGTGGATGATTATTGAGCTAGATGTTTTGGTAGTGGAGCTTTCGCTGTTCTTTTGAACAACATCATCAACAGAAACTTCAAGGTAGAAGTAATGTATTCCAAAACTCCCCACGTATAACTCACAGCCTGTGCTGTTGACCTCGGTTTTGACCTGTTATTATCTGCCTCTTTATTTTGGTAGCGTCCTCCTTTGATTTGAATTTTACTCCTATGCTTGTCTACGATTTTTCTGATTAGTTGATAAATTGGATCAATGTCGATGTGTTTGTTGATTGACGATTGATTTCAGTGTCATGCTTCTAAAAGCTTCTTTAATGTTCTTTGTACTCCCTCTATCCAGTATTCCAAGATTGTTCCAATCGTCAATTGATCTTAGTTAGGTTATCAAAGAAAACTTGAGTGCACTAGAAAGCCATCTCGTCTTAGTATGGGACTCCTTAACAATACGCATCTACGATCCTGCACGTAGAAATCGAACTCAAGATTTTGGTCTTACATGCGAACACTTAACTTCTAGACAGTTGAGTTAGCACTGATGTGTAACTTCAATCAATCCAAGACATTGTGCTACTATCTTCAATTGTCTTCGTTGGGTAACTGCCTCACACTCGGTATTGGTCAAGGTCTCTCATTAGAACACCGTTGTGTGCCAGCTTGCCAGTCTAGATGCTAAGCGTTTGAGCGCTAGATCTAAGGCTCTGGGTTCGATCCTTACAAACAATGCTTAAGAGTCCGATACTAGTAGGAAACTACTGTCTAGAAATAGTCTGAGATTGATTGGTTTATGATTTCAGTAAAATTCAATAATTTCCACAAGCCTATACTGACAATCTGAAATTTATTCTTCTCATAGCATCTTGAAACATACGTTAGGATATCGTTATTAACAAAGACGCATTTTTTTCTTTATATTTTTATTGTTTAGGTTGTAATTGATCTCAGTGTAGCTGACTTATTAGATGTTGGATATTGGTATCCAATACGATCATTTCATCGTTTCTTTTCTACATCAGAATTATCAAATATGGTAAGTGTTTTGAATAATGAAAGAAACACATATGTCATAGAAAAACATAGATCTATTTTATTGCATGATTTCTCATAATCTAAACATCATGGTATTAACCATTTAAAACCGGCTGTGCATATTTGTCCCCGACCGTAGCTGCTACATTGACGTGGTGGTCGGGCTTGCCTATTTTGATGACCCAACCGATCTATATATTGGCTGGAACACATGTTCCTTTGGGACTTATCATACCAGCCAGGTCGACTGAAGAACGGTAACACTGAAAGCAGCATCTTAAGACCTAAGGGCAAAGTCGTACTGCAGCATCTTCTACGATGCTGCCTTTTTACAAAGGAAGGAAGAGGTTAGGAGATGTAGACCCTAAATATGTCACAACTCATCTTACCCCACGTATTTCCGTATCCGGCGGTGATGCACATTCAGTACGTCCCATAAAAAAGCCATGCGTGCCCGGCCTCAAGCAGTTGTCGCTTGGGCTCTGCGGTCTCGCTCCCAGGTAGCTCAGGCCAATACCAATCCGAATTCCTTTTAAGGTCCCTCACAAAACACCCTTCCACGATGTGTGTATCCTGGAAGTGAAATCCGCCCTTATACCCATAACGGTACACGAGATTAACTTGGGTGTCCTTAGTTTGGATCATATTATCAAAAATGTTTCTATCCATGAATAGTTGAATAGTTATTCGTCCAATTATATAAATATTTTATAATTCTAATCTCTTACTGTTTTATTTATTAATTCACACCAGAATCCTGATGTCAATACTACTCCATACGATGTACAATCATATACTTCTCGTGAGTTGCTTTTCCTTCAAATATGATTGAACCTTGTAATTTTTTAATCCGTTTTTTCAATATGAATATACATGTTTGAATATGAATTAGTGTAGAAGACTGATAGATGAGGAAAGAATGCTTGTGTGAAATTTTGTCTTTTGAACAGCATTGATTAATTGTAAATTTATTCAATATCTATCCCAAAAACATTATCAGCTCATGTCTTAGTAAGTTTGGTGCCACTTTATCTACTCCCACCAGCCAGATGTGTGGTTATTGGGAGAGAGATGCGACTAATCCATTGCCACGACATTCCCACTTTGTGCAAGCATGTTAAAAGTTGAGCGTCATGATATTGATCGGCTTCGATGTGAGTGGTTATTGTGTTGTGGTCAGAGTTAAGAACCAGACCTCTCCTCTCATGCAGTGTTTTGTGATCCTGCTTAATCACTAATCTGGTAGCGGTAGGGTTGTCAGGGTCAGGGTAACGTGCTCCTTCTGGCTAGCAACGAAATAAATTCTCCTTTGACTTTATGCAGGTGCAGATACAACTCGAGGATCTGTTTCTAGAAAACTGGAACCTATAGGTTTTACAATAGTTTACGAATAGATAGGACATTTTAACAAGACTTATGGAGTACTCGAAGCAGGGTTCTCGTGAACAATAATCGAGCACTCTATGATGCCTTGGAAGAATGAGGTGGTAATAGGGGGCATCAAGTTGATTCAGGAAAATCTTTTATCTCCTCTTTGTGTGTACTTGGGATTATTTTTATACCTCTGCGGCTAAGAGTACAGGTTTATTCGAGGGTATGAGTGCGACCTTTATTACTTGATAATTCGCGTGAGTTCATGCTGCATTAATTCTTGGTCCATTGGAGTGTATCACTGCTATTTTGGAGATTATTATATCTCATTGAGCTATGATTGGTTGATGGATTATTTTAGTACTCTATTTTGCGGCTCTCCCAAAGGTGTTTCTGTCATTGTATAAATAAGCTTGATTTGTGTATTTTCTCTGTGCTTGAAGAATACATTCCCTACACATTATCAAAACTGTTTGATCTAGTTAGTCGGGGATGGGACAAACCGATTAGAATAACCTATCGTGTCACTGTTTAGTTAATCTTCGTTCCGTTTACCGAGTAAGGTTAACTCGTAGTAGTTTCAAGCATATCGATTACTGATGAGTCGTATACTAGGACAACATAGCTTTTCAATGCTTCAAGGTTTGCAATGTCGGTCAATCACTGATCGATACATGATTTCAATGAAATATAACATTTTGCTTATAAACCTGAATAATATGATTTAGCTCACTAACTATTTATATATCTTCATAGTTTTTCTCTGTCACGTTGTAGTAATTTGATCTCATCCGTAAATTAATCTATAACTATATTATATAACCATTAATATTTCTATTGCTCTCCTTCTCTCTCTCTCTCTCTCCGCCCAACAGAAGTTCCAAAAAAATCAATCAAATCAAGATATCAGGAATTGGAACAACAGCCACAACAACAACCACAACAATGGTCACCGAAATCTATGTATCGTAATCCAGATATGTCAGATGATAATGCGAAAAAATTAAAATCAATTCGAGATGATTATTGTGATATTGATGAACAGAAAATTGCAACATCTATTAGACAGAATAGGAAATTTACTAGTCATGAATATCAACGTGAAGGAGATGAAACACATCATCCGCATCGTCATTGTGGTTCAAGGTTACATCCTAGGTATGAATTTTTAATGTATCAGGCATGTTTAATTAGTCATTATTATTAGTTTCGAAAAGATTTTTTATTGGTTCATAAACTGACTTCATTTTGCCTGTTTATGCAAACAGACATGGGGATAATAAGTGGAAAAGTAAAATGAAGTGAAGCGGATGGGGCAATTTCATTTCTTAGAACAAGATTCACTTCCTACGCCTAAACTAAACTAAGCTACCTACGTGATGAATAAAGTAGGCGGTACACATACAAATTGAGTAGTTTACAAACAGTATGGAAATACGAGCGAATAATAACTTGAAAAGAGTCGATTCATTGGTTTGTCCAAAAGGTAGAATAAGTCATGTAGGTTTGTCATTAGAGTACAGAGGACAAATTAGTGTTGTTACTTAACTGTCTACTATTGTTTGGATGATAATAATGTCGAATATCAAGGAAAGGCTAATTGACAATGTTATTTTCATCTGTCATGTTTGTTCACTCTTAAAAAAATAATTATTGTTATTATTATTATTATTACCATTATTATATGTAGTTCACAAATATAGACGTAATTAGTTACATATTACTTGTTTTAGTTTGTCCTATTATCATAGGCAAGGATTAGAGACGTTGCCGCTTTTAGTCTTATCGTTCTTCATTTGACATGCGTGGCATGGTAGGACCTAGAGGAATGTGTGTTGCAGACAATATAGCTCGGTTTGGATCATTGGGATAGGCAAGTCCAACCAATACGTGACGATAGCAGCTATGATTGAGGGCTGCATATAATTTGAAAATTATTCGGAAACTATTAAATATCTTTCATTCCATAGATTTATTCTTCATCCTTGAATTTCCTCTGTCTAATGATGTTTACTACAACTGATATTAATATTATTTTTACTACTATATTGTTTGTTCTAACAATTTCTTCTTGCTGTGTTGATGAAATGTTTTAACTTGAATTGATTCAAATATATTCCTTGTACGTATAATAATTATTTCTCTGGTTGTCAGAAGAGACGTCAGTCTCGTGACTTCCGTAGAAAGTCGGCTTTCATGATGAGATGTCATAACTATTCCAAATAAAGATCTTCCAACTCCTTCCCACACGCAACAACAGATGCAGGAGATGATGACCAGTGTATCAGCAGCCTCAGCAGCAGTAGGTTTCAACATACATTATTGGAAAAGCAAGATTCTCCATTACAATAAAACATGCACAAACCATATCATTCTTGATGGGGACGCCTTGCAGGATGTAAAGGGCTTTAGATATCTGGGCAGCATCATTGATGACCGAGGTGTGGATCTGATGCAGATGTGTGGGAGCGGATCGGCAAAGCATAGGCAGCATTTCTACGAATGAAGAACACCAAAGTCAGAATTTTCAGCACAAATGTCAACATAGTTTCACAGTATAGAGCGGAAACCTGGAGAAATAAGAAACCCCTCGTCCGGAAGATACAAGTATTTATTAACAGTTGTTTACGCGAAATACTTTGGATCCGCTGGTTAGAAACTATTGGCTACATCCTACTGTGGGAAAGAAAAGACCAGATTCCAGCAGATGAAGAAATTAGGAAATAGCGCAGGAAGTTGGTAGGACAGACATTGAAGAAAGCACCCAACTACATCATAAGACAAGCTCTCACTTGCAATCCACATGGCCACAGGAAGAGAGGAAGATCAAAGAACACATTACGTTGAGAATTGGAGACAGAAGTGAGAACAATGAACAGCTAGCGATTGGATAGAACTGGAAAAGAACAGAGTAGGTTGGAGAATGATAGTCGGTAGCCTATGCTCCATTAGGGGGTGATAGGCGTAAAGTAGAATTAAGTAATTCACATATAGTGGTTAGAAGATGGAATGTTTATGATTAATATATACTATTGTGCTTTATTGATTTCCCGGGAACATGTTTTCCTAATAATAATTATAATTATTTCCTTCGATTCTTTTAGTGCTCAAAATTTTGAATACGGTGGTCAAGAAGAGAATGCGATTCAATCAGATGCGTCAGAATTTTCCGATCTTTCAGAATTATCTAGAATGAGTTTGCATACAAGTCAATCAGATCGTCAACGTATGGAATCCATGCAAACATCACGTAAAGGAAGTCAACAATTTGACGTTCTTGCAACACAATCCTCACATGAAAGACATGCTAGAAATTTGCAAAAACCCGATAGATTAGAACAAACTTTTCTACCATCTGTTGAACAATCAACAAGAGCTAGACGAGATTCAAGTAGAATTGATAAAGATATCAGTGTTCCTATTGAAGATGAAGAACGACATGAAATCATTTCAAAAGATAATAGAAATTTTGAAAGTGATTCAGGTCAAAGAATTTCATCAGCTGATAGTGATGCAGAAAGTAGAGCTTCACGATCTTTAATTGAAAATAAAGTATCGAATTTTGAAATCGCTCAAAATGTTCAAAGAGATCCAACAGATGGTAGGAAAAGACGACCAAATATAGGTCAAAAGTTTTCTAACGTTCTTGGTCGATCCAATAAGAGTAGCAGTACTTCAACTTTAGGTAATTAAGAATATTTTTTTTAAAGAGTATTATGAAAATATTCACTGAATTTTTTAAAATCTTTATGGTAATAAGTCATATCATTTATTTACAGTATAACTGAAAACGTTGGTAAATATAGTATCCCATAGGTTTAAGAATCACTCTGTGTCTACACTCAGATTATTGATTTTCCAAGAGAATTGTAAGAGAAACGCACACCTTTGGTTTTTTGGTCTTTAAGACACATTACTGTAAAACTTTTGTTGTGTGCGTACTAATATGCTGAGCCTACATTGTTTTATCCCGGCTTTTAGACAAACTAATTAACGTCTTTCGACCTTGTCATTTATTCGTTTAGAATTTGAGTGCGTTGAGCATTGTTTGCTTCGCTTATCAAATATCTGGCTCATTTTTCTGTGACTATCAATACCTAATTATGCCTTATCGAATTGAGTTGGCTCACTCGGCTTTCCCACTTCACTTCGTATTCTCTTTTTTTGTCTGCATGAACAACTGACTGAAATAAACACATTCGACTGAATCCAAATTTGGTTTCTTATTACCGCTGTCGCACAAACTGGTTTCGCCTAAGCATGATATACAGAAATTGAAGGAAAGATTTGTTTTAATTGCATACTCGATTATTCGTTCAAGTTGAAGTCATATGGTGGGCCACTAAACTTTCCTCACATGATTTTTGCATAACGAATGTTCGTTGTGCTAATCTTGAGATGGTGGAGAAGATTCGTAGCTCAGGTGGATGATTGTGGTGGCGGTGTTTGGTTCTCTGAGCTGGTTGTTTTGGTTGTGTAGCTTTCATTGTTCTTCTGAACAACATCATCAGCACAAACATCAGATAGAAGTGACGCATTCGAATTTCTCCACGTTTGACCTGTAGCTTGTTCTGCTAACCTCGATCTTGATTGGTTGCTGTTGGCCTTAAACCTGTCGTTGTTTGCACCTTTGTTTTGATTGCATCCCCCTTTTGATCTGTTTCTTGATCCTATGTCACCTATGATTTTCCTGACTGGTTGATAAATTGGGTCAATGTCGATGTGTTTGTTGATTGCTGATTGACCTGAGTGCCAAGCTTCTAATCGCCAATATTATCCTATCGAAAAAAAATACACTTCTAGTGGATTCAAACAGAAATCTAACTAAGAATATATAAAATGTTTAATTTTGTATAGTGAACTAATGGTACTTTGATTGTTACAGCTTTTTTGTTATTGACTAATTTACCGATATGGAGCTTTAATTAGTTATTGATCAAAGACAAATAGACTTCTCTTTATAACTTATTATGCAGTTAAGTCTTATGTATGAAAGATTGATTACTACTTTGGATTCACTGTGTTTCTAGCGTATTCGTATTTCGGTTACGTAAACCATTGTTTAATGTTGTCTAGAAAGACAATGAAGGATTCTCAATTAGATTGTTCACTTCAGAGAACCCATCATTCTGAATTCTTCCTTTTGAGCTACAAATTCTCCTCATCATCAGCTCTGATTGTTGTTCAACTGTTTTGAAGTGTAATTTTCTAAATGAAGCAATTATCGCTAATGATACTAATTATTGAACGAATTTTATTGCGAATCGTGTAGGAATGAAGATTCCAACCGCTTGATCCTACTTGGTGAAGATGCTGACAAAATGCAGCGTCTTCTGACTACCCTAAGCAACAATGCAAGCATGTTCGGGATGCGGTTTTCCCCGTTGAAATGCAAAATGTTGCTTCAAGATTGGGTTTCATCGGCACCTGAACTAGTGATAGGGAGTGAAGTAGTCGAGCGTGTTGACCGCTTCATTTATCTTGGGAGTCTCATCAGTGCCGATGGCCTGGTGACTGACGAAATCTCAGCTCGGATACGGAAAGCTCGATTGGCTTTTGCCAACCTGCGTCACTTATGGCGTAGGCGTGATATCCGTTCTCTAATCAAAGGACGAGTGTACTGTGCAGCAGTTCGATCCGTTCTCCTATATGGCTGTGAAACATGGCCAGTGAGAGTAGAAGATATTCGTAGGTTACTGGTTTTCGATCATAGGTGTCTTCGAAGCATCGCTCGTATACCGTGGGACAACCGAGTAAGCAATGCTGTCGTTAGGAAACGAGTACTAGGCAAGGATGGCAGATCAATCGATGAAGTGGTGAAGCTTCATCAGTTGAGGTGGTTGGGACATGTCTTGCGTATGCCTAACCACCGACTGCCTCGACGAGCTTTGTTTTGTAGTAGAGGAGTAGGTTGGAAGAAAGTTAGGGGCGGCCAGACCAAAACATGGCAGAAATCCATGAAGTCATTGACGAATGGACTTATCCATGTCGGTAATTGTCGACTACCTGGTTGGGGTCCGCGAGATGATAATAATCGATGGTTAGAGACCTTAAATGACATGGCTCAAAATCGTTCGCAATGGCGCCAGTGCATTTATTCTTTGTGTTCTCTCAAATCCTAATCTTCTGGATTCTTCAACAACTCTAGTTTCGACTCTCTAAACTTTTCTCACTGAATCATACTTCTTGAATAGTATCTTCTAACCCTAACTCCTCCGATTACTTCTAATTCCCTTACTACCTTTACTACTATTGGATTTGAATTGACAATTATATCTCTGTGCTGATGTGGTATGGCAACATGAACTGATGTACTTAGGTACGAAGTTCTACGTTGCATCTGACTGACTGACTGACCGACCGCTTGATAGCTAATCAGTGAGCTTAAAATAAGCATTATATCATAAGGTTTGAAAGTTCTAAATTAGATCACTAGAGTATTCATTAGTACATTTTATTAAAGAATTACAAAATGCCTTAAACTTACCCCTGTTACTCCTAATGGAACATAGGCCTCCGAACAGCGACTTATTTTTTCTGGTTAGCGGTTTTTTTAGCGAGTTAGATTTCTACGGGATGGGATCGTTAACCCCATTTCCAACCCTCCTCCTTTATCCCAGGCTTCGCGACCGGTGGCAGTAACCCTAGAAGGTCTGCAGGCGGAGTTTAATGAACTATAAACTATAACAAAAAGAAAACAGTCTATTGTTTTAATCTTTATTGATTATTTATTTAAATTCAATGTCCACTATGTAAATTATATCGTTAAGCTCAAAAATCCCCACAAATCATTTGTTGTTCATTCTGTCGCATAATATTTTAGACAAAAAATCAAGAACAAGTTTTCAACGTAGTGAAGAAGTATTACCATTTGGTGGTGGATATGGTGCTGTCATATTTGAAGGTCAAGAACAAGATGGATCATACAATTATGGAAGATTATCAATGATGCATTGTCAATCAAGTATAGGCAGTGGAAAAAGTGACAGTCGTAATTCTAAATATGGTACCAATTCAGATAATACGGATCAAGAAAGGTAGATAATCTGTTAAGTCATTCTTTTTTCATATTAGTCCATCATTTCTTCTTAAATCATATATATTCACGCCATTCAATCTTTTTCATGATGACTCCTGTTACCACTAATCTGATCTATGTGGTTAGCAAAAATTGATGTAAATTGGTTATTGAGTGTATACTGATAGATACTTCTTATTGGTTATTAAATAACTTACTTACTTACGCCTATAACCCCTAGTGGAACATAGGCCGCCGTCCAGTATTATCCAACCTACTCTGTCCTACGACTACCTTTCTAGTTCTGTCTAATTGTTGTTCATTCTTCTCAAGTCTGTCTCCATTTCTCAACGTAATGTATTCTTTGGTCTTTCTCGTTTCCTTTAACTATGAAGATTCCAAGTGAGGGCTTGTCTTGTGACACAGTTGGATGCTTTCCTCAGTATTTGTCCTCTCCACTTCCAGTGATTTTTCCTAATTTCTTCCTCTGCTGCAATCTGTTTTGTGACTAGCTAGAGTAGATGTAAATTGGGTATTGAGTATAAACTGATAGACACTTTTAATTGGTTATTCAATATGGTTATCTTCTTATTATTGATTTCTACTCTGTAAACACTAATTATAGAACGCTTTTAATTGTACTGAATGAAGTATTTTTCATTAGAGTTAAGGAGATTCTTGTTTATCACTGAAATCATGAATCAAACATTGTTAGATCACCATTAGAAACCTGAAATCACTAAATAGCCGATTCATCCTAATATGAGACTCATCGACAGTGCGCATCCATGATTCCTCTCATTCGCAGGACTCGAACCCAGGACCTCCGGCCTCGGGCGTGAACACTTAACCTCTAGACCACTGAGCTGGCGTCCAGCGGTGTTAGTGTTTTCGTTAGGTGACTCCACTGGTTATGTCTTCTCACCAGAAGTCCAATACCAGGACGAAACGGCCGTCCAGTGCTTCCAGGCTTCTAATGGTGGTCTAGCGATCATCGATTCATGTTTCAATAATGAATGTAGTATCGGCTAGCCTATTCTCTGGTTCCCTACACTTGATCCTGTATCATGTATATATTATAACGTAATAATAGTAGTAGCAACAATAATAATCGCTTTATTCAGTATTATATGTTTGGCAAAATATGTAATTCTCAGTGCGGAATATTTTAACAAATATCCTTTACAAAACATTTAATGATTGGCAGTAAGCAATTCAAGAATATAACTCTTAAATAACGTCGATTCTTTTCTCAGAACATCGCTATCCACTATGTGATGCCTTGGATTATACTGTTTCATACCTTTTACTATATTCATCTGAATAGATTAAGTGATTAATGGGAACATAACTAACATGTTAAAACAAACAAACTGAAACAAAAATAGAGGGACCTTGTTATTACGACTTCTGTTACCATTAATCTACTGTGTGGCTAACAAAATTAGATGTGAATTGGTTTTATTCTGCGATAAACCGTTATTCCATTGTAATTTTATTGATTTTTACTTTTAACTTGTTCAATGTTACCTGATAGGTAAATAAGTCCGTTTAGGTTGTCAATATAGTTCTGCATGAATTCAAATGATTTATTTTCTTGTTAACATTACTGAATAATTTAATGTACTAACTACAATTTTGATTCTGTATGAAACTGCTTTCATTGAACAAGTCCAATAACGAAACCATTGTTTTCATTTAATCCTGAAAAGTGATCTTTACAATTTAACCGTTTCATTTAGTTTTATATAGTTCAGACTTATAGACTAGAGTTGAGAGTTGACTGATTTAGGGAAAAAACAGGACAAAATGAATTTGAATTACCGCTCAAAAGTAAACATCGATTTGATAAAACTCAAATAACAAAGTTCCATGTATCAAAAAGAAATTAAAAAAGGAACATTTAAATCGCAAACGGTTCATCTTCTTTTGATGAGTTAGTATGTCTTTACTACTGGTTAGCATTTTGTTTAACTAGTTGATTTTCTACGGGGATGGAGTTGTTAATCCTACTATGCCCATACCTCCCACTTTATCTGGTCTTGGGACGGACAGTAACACCAGAAGCGCTCCAGACCGGGTTATGGTTTTATTAAGTAGAAACTTAAAAGCCAAATGGAGAAGGCGACTGGGCCAACTACATTCGATAAAGTATGACTAGCTATTTATAGTCAAACAAGAATAAACTAGACATGAGATAAGCAAAGTAAGTAACTTACATACGTACATAGCTAGTTTATAAGCAAGTCATTAACATAGTCAAAAGACGTAAATGATAACTTGGAGAGAATGGATTAATTTACTCGTCCAAAACCTAGGACAGACCATGTAGGCTTGACGTATTAATGAACACTACTTAGTTGTTTTATGCGATTTGAATATGATCATAATTACAAGCTGTACTTTTGGACAAATTAATTTTTGCATATTTGTTACCCTACCACCTAATTAAATAACAGTTATTAAGTTTCGTAAGTTTCCTTCATCAAATCATTCATTGAGATTTATTGATTATAGTGAATAATGGTTTTATATTTTTAGTGACGATAATGATCACATTAATTAGGAATTTGAATCACAAACAGTACGTGCAACCATACATTAACTTTACAGATTGGTTGGTGATTTGTAATATTAGGAATGATTTTGACTGATTGACAAATACAGAAAAAAATAGTACAGTGCGCTCTCCAATGATTATCTTCGTGAGGAAATTCACGTAGTTCTAGTGAAAAGACGTGACCAGAGGATTTCAACCATGTCGGGTGTAGGCAGTAACTACTGAAGACAAATGAGTGAAGTTTCGCAAAATCCTTAGATTGATCAAAGTTAGACATTAACACCATTCGGGGCCGGCTCAGTGGTCCAGAGTTAAGACGCTTGTGCACACGACCGAATATCCTGGGTTCGAATCCCGCCATGTGCAGGAATCGTGGATGCGCACTGCTGATTAGTAGTCCCATACCAGGATGAAACGTCCGTCCAGTGCTTCCAAGTTTCTAATGGTGGTTTAACGATGATCGATTGATGATTTCAGTGTGTGTAGAAACACTGATCTCCATAACTCTAATTGAAGAAAAAAAATAGAATACAACTGTACCAAGTGGATGCTAGCTAGCACAAAACATAAGTACAAAGTTTCCATTTTTTTACCTCTAAACACATATGACATCGAAACATAATACATACACTGTTAAATAATTTAAAGTATTAACTATATTTCAACTCGTTTGACCGAATCCAATCGGCACTGAAGACTTACTTACGCCTGTTACCCCTAGTGGAGTATAAACTGCCAATCATTTTGTCCTTGGCCTTCTTTTCCAGTTCTATCCAATCGCTGAAGACTTAGCTACCATCATATTGATCAGTGTAAACCAAGTTTAAAACATTTGAATCGATAATATAAGCTATGTGTTACATGAATATCTTTCTTCTTTTTTTTCTTTCTTTCTTTAGTATTTATTTAGGTCGAAATGAATCACATGTAGGTGAATTTGTTGAAGGTCTTGGTCCAGGACAATTAGTTGGACGACAAGTACTTGGTATGCCTTGTCTTGGTGAAATCCAGTTAAGTTTTTATGATCGTAAAGGACATTTAGAAGTGGAAGTAATACGTGCAAGAGGTTTACAACAAAAAAATACATCAAAACCATTACCAGCACCATATGTTAAATTACATTTATTAGAAGGTAAACAATCTGTTGAAAAATTACGTACAATGTATCCTCCAAGACGTACATTAGATCCACTTTATCAACAACAGCTAAGTTTTTCAATGCCATATCATGGAAAAATTCTTCAAGTGAGTAAAAATTGCCTGAATATCTTTTATTTTATTTAAATTTTGTGTGTTTAAAATCTATTTGAATAGTTTAATCCGAAGACTGAATTTACTGTAAAAAATCCTGTAACCTATAAATAAAATTTGATGGAAATCAAGGTCATGTAGTAGGAAACAAGATATACATCAAGAATTTATCAACCTGAAACTATGAAGTTCATGAAATCCAGTCATGTCATCAAAAATACAATCAAAAGTAAGAAAGTGACTTCAGCCCTAGCATGGTTCCCGAATCCTCCAGAAGCTCAATGTTGTAACTAACTATAGATACCCTCATTTCTCTGTATATCAACTAACCTTGGAGTAAAGCACCCATGCATTTTTTCCTTTATTCAAGTTGCTGTATAGATTCAGTTTGTGATTATTAAAAGCCAACAGGGATCGGATCTTGTACTTATTTGACAGACCTATCAATGTCTTAAATAAGACTGAAATTATAACACGTACTTCAAATCAAAAGATTATGCATCAGCAACAAACAGTAATAGGTTGGACGTTATTTTCGATAAACAAACAAGTTTTCAACGTTATTAGTATTTCATGAAACAGCATACACTACCGAATTACATAAAAAGCGAAACAGTAGTACGAGTATTCATCATGGATTGAATATTATTCTTGTTAAAAAATTACTAGGAGAATTCTTAAATATAAATCAAACTACTTGCTATCAGAAAGTAATATACAGCAACATACAAAAAAAAGATAAACTTGCCTATATATAACTGAAAATTCACTGACTATACAAAGCAGATTGGATTAAGTAGACATTTAGGAAGTTGCTGATTAGTTCTATGATAAATTTTCATGCATTAAAGATTTTTTGATATAACCTTCTTGTACAAATAATAATTAAATTGAAATGGAATTCAACGATATTATAAATATCGTTTAAGATATTTTCAATTGAGAGACTCTGTTGTTATTCCCCTTCAAATGACTGTTGAAATATTGTAAAATATCGATCGGTCGTCCTCAAACAAAAAATGAATGAACGGATAAATAAGCAAGTGTTGTAGTGATCAGATGTATGTACTGTTAACTTCTGTGACTAAGTTTTAGTTAGTTATATTATCAAATAAAGAGAAATCTAGTGGATAAGCATTTATTCTCTGATTTTTTTTCGCCAAAGAAGTATGACTAAAATATTTTTTATACAATATACAGTTCCTGAATATTCATGGATAAAATTCACTTACTTACTTACTTACTTACGCCTGTTACCCCTAAGGGAACATAGACCGCCGATCAGCATCCTAGGCCTCCCTTTCAAGTTCTACCTGATCGCTGTTCATTCTTCTTCATGTTTGCCTCAAATTCTCAGCTTAATGTGTTCTTTGATTTGATCGAAATAACTAATTTTATATTAAGGTGTGAAGTGGTAGATTTATATTGTTGTGTGTAAATACAACTTAGTGATTCAGAAGTTAAGCGTTCGTGCGCAAGACCGAAGGTTCTGAGTTCAAACCCTATGAGTAATAGGAGTCAGGGATACCAGAACGAAACGGCCGTGTCCAATGCTTCCAGGCTTTTAATAGTGCTCTAACACTGATTAATTCATGATTGCAGTTATCAACAAAAATCTCCATAAATCCCTAATTGATGAATACAAAACATTGTCTTTAAAGTTATTCAAAAATATAAGTCTATTAGAGAATTGTAATTTTACTAGTCTACCATCCAGTCGTTTGAAACTTATTCAGTTAAATTATTTTTAAATTCGACTTTCATGTGATATATTTGATGGCTGTTATAATGCTGCTATGTAGCTATTCGGAATCCTACTGATTGACTAAATTCAAATATTCCAGTACGATTCCAAATACTGTTCCGAAATCTCCATTATATCAGAACACAACACTGTCAGATGAAGCAGTTTATGGTGGTTAAGTACAGAAGGAATGAAGATTTAATAAGCTTTACAGATAATGCATATTTATACAGTTAGGTAGAATAGGAAACAGCATTCAAGTCTGTGACATTGATAGCTAGGACGACCATAATATTGACCAGTAGGAATTGACCAATAGAATTAAACTTCCAAAAATAGTTCTCTTAGGATATTTGATGAATATCCTAACAGTGACATAGTTTACCTCAATAATTTACTATGAGATTTGAACACTTTTTTTACTCACAAGTCTTGATGGATACAGTTGAGTGTATTTTTTGTTCTTGGTTACATATTTTGGATTACGCCAACAATTAGTATTCATGACTGTTTAACATTGAATGAAAGTAAATTACTCAAAAGTATTTTGTACAAATAAAAAAAGTTACATTTATACCAATAATGGATATTTGATTTTGCTTAGTATTCCTGTTTTTTTTCAAAAAAGTATTTTGTATAACATCAGAAAAAAAGCGAATTCTTTGTATTTGTATCCATTAGTGAAAGCATGATAATTGAAACTTATTATTATTCGTTGACTAACTAACTATCAAATCGATTGTGGAAGTTTTAATGAAAATCGTTAATCCAATAAAAATTCACCAATATCAAGAATGGGATAATTATCCTGGTGCTGCGATACAAGTTGATTAGAATTTCAGAAATGATAATCATCTAATTCTTACACAATGATTTAAAGCTAACCAATTACTTAGAGTTCTATTGAGAAGACATGACCAGTGAATTTCAACTCTCTCAGGTGTAGGCAGTAACTACCGAAGATGGTGGATGAGGTTGTGCAATATTCTTAGGTTGATCTGATTTAGACATTAACACTGATAGATTCCGGATAGCTCAATGGTCCAGATATTAGGCGTTCTCGCTCAAGACCACAGATCGAATGCTGCGAGTAGTAGGCTTCGCAGATACGCACCACTGATGAGTCACATGTCAGGAAGAAACGTCCGTCCAGTACTTCCAGGTTCATAACAATGATTAAAATCACAATTTCAGTATAAAAATAACAAATTTGTCACACACACATAAAACAAATGTACTTAGAACTAATTTTTTTCTCTTCTACTTTTTCTTTTCAAATATTTTATTCATAAACAAATATATATATATATATATTTATAGATCAGTGTATGGGGTGAATATGGACGTATGGATAAGAAAGTATTCTTAGGAATGTGTGAAATTGTTTTGGATGATTTAGACTTAAAAACAGTTGTTTTCGGTTGGTACAAATTATTTGGAATGATTGCATCCAATGCACAACATCATCACCATCATCATCAACATCAACATCAAAAGCGACAACAACAACAACAGCGGAAGAGTTTCTCTTCGTCTTCCACCCTATTGGATGATTCACAGAATACAAATACTACTACTACTACTACTACTCACAAATCAATCGGTTCAAAACTTGACAAATTAACTAATCGTTCTAGTGGTGGTGGTGGTGGTAATAATAACAATGATAACACTGATAGAACTAATCGTAAAAAATCCAAATCATCACAAGATATCAATAGATCCGCTCAACAGTTACATTCAATCAAATAATAACAAACAAATCAAGGACTTAGACAAAACAAAACATGAATTTCCAATGAAAATCAATAGTGTTTTATTTTTTCTGGAGGAGGAGACTAAGAAGAACAGAATAGTATAGTATAGTTCATAAATGCACATACATTGAACAATGTCTTTTTTTCTTAAAGAACACTACATATACATATATACATATATATACATACACATATTTAAATGTACTTCATATATTTTTATAGAAATTGTAACTTGACAAGAAAATCTTTCCGAAAAAACAAAACAAAACAATTTATATTATTTTTCTATGCAAACTAATTAATTTTTCCAACTTGAAATGAACTAAACCAATTGTACGATCATCCAATTACGGGAGTGTGCATCTGGAAGTTGGTTGATGTGTATGTGTGTGAGAGAGAGACAGTAGTAAAACACTGACCAAAATTATTGAATAACATATACATACATATATATATATATATATATATATATATATATATATATATATATATATATATACGATCTATCACATCTTTCCCTGTTTAACATGTTGACTAGCAAAGGTATTATTTCGTATGATTTCAATCATATCTATCTATCTGTCCATCTATCTAACTATCTATCTATTTTACATGAATAGCTAAATACTACTATTATATCTAATTTGATCAATTCATTAATTTTAATTAGATACTCATTGTACATTTTGAAGTGAATTCTTGAAGCCGGATTTTTTTTTGTTGAGATATATATATGAGCATATAGTTCGAAAAGAAATGTGAACACATTTCACAAACACATATCTACAATGATTTTGATCAATTTTCATTTAAAAAAAAAAAAAGAATATTATTCTTTAAGGATATTTATTGAATCAAGAAGTATTCTTAATTTAAATTTCTTACATAAAACTCTAACTCTCTAACTATTAACTTGTAATCTTATCCTATTTCTATTTTGGTGATAATTATTGAAACTTTGAGAAATTTTAGAAAAATTAACTCTTTTTTCTATTCTCCCCTCGTTTATATGCTTATAAATATATATAAATATATATAACTGAACTTACTTATACAGATATATATATATATATATATATATATATATATGAAATTATGGAATCTGGGGCCATTTCACATTCTCATAATGCACATTCCTATTCTCTCTCTCTCTGTTTCTCTCGATCTCTTTTCTTTTTATGTTTGAGGTTCCTTTAAGATTTCATTAAACTTATTTGTAATTAGAAAAAAAATATATATATAAATATACATACAACTTATTGACTTTCAACTATTATAAACACACACACACACACACATACAGTGGTTTCATAATTTTCTTCCGACAGATTATCTTAAAACAAGCATAGATTATTTCACATTTGAGACAAGAATATCTTTTAGTTCAACAGTGCCAATATATATTATATATTCTTCAAAAGTATAGTTTTATCTGTACACCTTTAATTCCATGCTATTCAATATAATCTTTTAAAATTCTTTTTGTTTGAATAAGATCTGTTCAATTGTCAATTGTTTTTTTGCACATTGTGTAACGTCACTATTTCTTTTCTCTTACTCTTTCTCTCTCTCTCTCTCTTTCTCTATTTGACAGAGTTTAGATTAAGATTTCCTCAATAGTTTTAATGAATTCTAGTTTGTTTATTTGTTCAATGATGAAAGACAGAAAACGTTTTTTTTTGAAGAAATTAAACAGTGAACATGTAACAAGCTATTCACTTGAATGTTTGTAAAGCTAATTTCTTCGCATTTCATATTCTCAGAAAAAAAAAGAATTATTTCTAAACATTTATGATCAATTGTTTTTTTTTCACTTTTGTCAAACACTTTCCATGTAGATAGAGATTTGCTTTAGAAATTGAGATGATACGATACACTTGAATGTGTGTTGAATAGTTAAGATGGTTTTGACTAATTAACAGTCCCAGTGTAGTGAAGGAGAACACAGGTGGGGCAACCGAATTGTGTTTAACAAAAATTACAGAGTTACTCAGTAAAATCGGAAAACCATATCGTAAATCATTAATTTGCAAAATATCAGTCCATCATATCGAACTGTTCCTGTTGCAAAACATCAATCCATTGTCACTATTCATGCGTTTCATACAAATTCCATTGTGTTCTAACTGTTCCTTTCTTGATCTTTCCCCATCTTCTGCTGCCAGACATTACGTTGACACTCACGTCATATACTACTTATAAGTAGCTCGCACCACACCAGTACTGAAATCATTTGCAATAGGTGTAGCACAAAAATCAACAGAATCAATTCGATAAAACAAGAAAAACCTAAAATTATCTATTAAATTATTTACTCATAATATGAAAACCACTAAACTGGACATGGTGGACGCCTTCTTCAGCTTCGTCTGTCTGAATATCAATTAGCAGTCGAACGATTTGATATTTCTTGCCTTCTTATATCAATACATACGGACAATTATGGATATACATTTGATTGGAACAATGTTGAAATGCTAGACAGAGGGAGTAAAAAAGAACACAAGAGAATTTTTAGAAGCTTGGCACTCAAGTCAATCAGCATTCAACAACCACACCGACATTGATCCAATTTATCAACCAAGCGGAAAAATCCTAAGCGACATAGGATCAACGAACTGATCAAAGGGGTATACAATCAAAACAAAGGTGCAAACAACGATAGGTTTAAGGTCAATAACAACCAATCAATATTGAGGTCAACAGAACAAGCTAAGAGTCATACGTGGATAAATTTGAAAAATTCACTTCAATCTGAAGTTTGCACTGATGATATTGTTCAGTAGAGCAATGAAGCTCCATAGCCAACGCATCCAGCTCACATTAACGAAACTCCACTACAAAACTTCGCAACCCTACATTTTCTCTCATATGTGATTAGTTAGGCATGTCACTTATTAACAAGCTCCAATCCAGAATAATCGATTCAGCTGTGTTCAACAGTTCTTTAGCTTATATTAGTTTGTGATATAAATCTAACGCCGTAAAAAGTTTTGTTAAATTTTCCTATCCTTATTGAAGATTACTTTTGTAAGTGACGTAGCCATACGACTGGTTTATCCTATATATATCAATAACCTGCACGTATTCGTTACTCATCTATAAAGGCATGCAGACTGAAAATAATACTTGAATAGTTTTCAAAGATAAATTTCTATCATACATCATATTTCATCATCTTACTGCAAATAATCTCTGAAGCTGAAAACTATTCACAATCTTACATATTTTGTTTTTTTGCACTGTTTTTATTGATTGACAGTTTTTACAACTTGTATTCACTGATGATTGATTTTAAGTCATTTAAGGAAGATAAGTGCAAAGCAGCAAATCCAAGAACAACATTCATATTAAGAATTGAAAGTTATGTATATTAGAAATAAATTGTTAACCTGTTATTATCAACTCAATTACAGTATTAGACTATTAGTTTTGTTTGCTGATGATAGTGAAATCCAATTTTTCAGCGTAGTATATATTCTGTTTGGTTAGATTGTAGTGTGTCTATTTCGATGTGTCCTTAATCTTTGTAATTAGCGTCTGACGGTTTATGTATCAGAAGGTGAATTCGAAGTGTTGAATACGTTTATTTTGCAACACACCACAAAGCAAAGCGGAGAAGCAGTGATTAAAACGAATGAAGTAACGTGAGTTGGAGAAGACTGTTGAGATAACTCAAAGAGATAGACCGAGACTAAGAATATATGGTCAGACAAAAATAAGACAGACATGCGACAAGTGAAATAGGCACATATGAATAAAAGCGACGAATAGTTGATAAGGTCAAATGACAAGTGGGAAAAGTCACGTGAGCTCATACAAACCAGACAATAATAAGAACTAATGGTACATATGAGTTGTTGCAATACAAATGGCTTGGTTAAATAAATTAATCGAAAGGTCTTAACCAAATTAAATGTAAGCGAACTCGAATATATGTGGAGGCACTCACTACAAGATAAGTTTTCGTTACCGTCAAACTGACCTGTGTGTAACGTATACTGTGGTTGAAGTAGGAAACCATGTGAGTATATAGATATTGTCATTATTATATAGACTTTTTACAGAATTTATTAACTGAATGTAATAACTATTGGTTCTGTACAAGTGATCGTTTCTTTTTCAATCTTCCAGTGATCTTCACAGTATCAACCATTACATCTATAGATAAGCCATTTACGGAAGAACGAACGATTTTGAATGAGAAACTGATGTACAGATTTAGCATAAATGAGTTTTTTTTCTTAGTAGTTTTTAAAAAGTAATATTGTTATATCCAACAGAAATTCCTGATTCTAAAATGATGGAAGCATCAACTATGACTCCAAGCTATAAAGCATTAGAATCCAGTAAATTTCATAAACACATAAGAATCTATTTATTATGGTCACAAGTCCAGCAAGTATTGTCTTTTTTTGCTACAGTTATGCTTCACCCGATGTTGTGTGTGAACTGGCGTCGAGGCCCCTTAAACAAGGGTCTGAAGTTGGGTTCCGGTGCTTCAGTGCTGAAAAGGGTACTGAACACCAATGATGTCTGCCCACTTCTGTGGGATGAACCCTGCTTGGCTGAGCGCTTGCGTTTGGTCGAGTCCATGATATCTTCCTCATGGAAGGGTGTACGTTCTAGCTGACCTTGTGGGACAAACTCGATCTTTAGCTTAATGTGGGGTAAGATGGGCCTCGATCGACTGTATCAACGCAAGGCAGTTGGAGGCCAGACGGTTGGGATGGCTGCTGGTTAGTGCACTGCTTGAGTGGCTCGGTAACATGCTACGAGGTCCCTTGTCCGGAAGGATAAGCCCGCCTTGCCGCCCTCGCCGATTGGGGATTGTGGGCTATGGTTTGCTTGGTGGGATTTCTTGATTCATAGGTGCCCGTGCGGGGGCCACTGCTCGTGTGCGTGCTTTTTGGATGTCCGATGTGTCTGCAGACCAAACCGGACAACATGTATGTACCCGAAAGGGGCAGGGGTTAGTACTGTCGGCAACAGTGAGTATCCTTGCGCTGTATATCAACGCAGCGATGTGCATGTGCAGCAGGCATGTTGGTTGACCATGAATATAGACTGTGTAGATATTCAGGTCGAATAACTATGAACACGCCTATTAACCAGTTACATACGGTTCCCAAGTGTTATTCCAACAAATCTCATATCGGGAAGACTGGATAGTCCAGATGAAA